AGCCGCGAAAATGCACTCAGTGGTACAATTGACCGTAAAGCCGACTCCTAGATGCAAACCTCCGAGTACCATTGATTGCATTTGAGATATTGTACGGAAAAAAAGTTACGAGATTTTGGAGTAAACATGGATTGTTTCATTCTGCAAATAGCATCATTAAACTAACAATACGATATATTTATCCGTATTGTTTTATTTAATAACCAATATCCTAAATACAATTAGCGATCTTGCAATTTTACGACTTGTTATTCTGCATTTATTTATTTTTTATGTGTAACTTTTTCTTTTATACATTTAAGAAATGATGCAAGTACAGCAAAAATTTTCTATAAAAAATTAACTAAAACAGCTAAGTAATTGACAAGTATATTTCTGCTATAAATTCTATACGTGACAAACAACAGTTTTAACAGATACAAAAATATCACAAGCGATGCTATTTTTTAGTTTAAAAAAAAAGATAAAATTTATAAATACAAAGTTTTATAAAAAAATATATCAAAATTTATAAAAAAATTGCAACTCTAAATACACAAGTGTTTCTTATTTTGTCTTTAATTTGCAGGCATCCGTATTAAAAGATAGTACAAAATACAAAATGCTCAAGCTATCAAATGAATATCACTCAAAAAAATATTTCGCTGATATAATTAGACGTTTAGATGTTTTTTGTATCTGTTTAAAACTGTTGTTTGTGTCACGTATAGAATTTATAGCAGGAATATACAATACTTGTCAATTACTTAGCTGTTTTAATTAATTTTTTATACCTAGAAAATTTTTGCTGTACTTGCAAAATAATTTTTTTGAGTGAAAAATAACAAGGATAAAATGGCATCTGGTCTAACTTTTCAGGTCGTATGCATTATTGAAACCAAAAAAAATGTTTTCTTTATCGAACGAAATTTTCTGTTATCAGAGTTCAATTTAAACTCCGCAAACTGCGCAATAATAAGATTTAATCGAGCGAGCAGAACGGAGATTCGGAAGGATTCGTCACCAAATGTCACGTAGCGATCAGGGTATAAATTTTTTATCGGCTCGCAAAAGAGAGGAAAATTGGAAGAGACGGATCGCGGGAGATTTCGATTCGCTATGCCAGGAGCAATTCGATATTACACACGATGCGTGTGTCGCTCGACGAAGAGAAGAAGCCGATCAATACCTTGTCTTATGGTCAATAACGAGCGAACCTAAACAGAGAGAATCAAATCGTAATACGGTTCTGACAAAATACGTGGAAGGATCGATTTCGTAGCCTTTTTACAGCGATTTTTCGCCGATCGATCGGCATCCTCGTCTTCCTCGACGGCAAACTGTAAAACTGGCGGGTAAAAAATAGAAATAGAAATATTCTACTCTCTTGCACGTGCATTTGGCGCTCATATACATACGTGTACGTTCACGATGTTACAATTTCTCGCGTGCCATCATCGCACAGAGGGACGATGATGATACGGATATATACGTGCGAATTGATATAAATACTTTTTCGCGAGCCACGATTATATACATTCCAATAGTGCCTCTCTTCTCATAGCGGCTGGTCTCATCATGACGACGGGAGCACGCGACGACTGCCGACCCTCGTGAATCCGCGCCTTCGTCCGGGGTGTTTCACAGGGGTTGCGGTAGTCGCCGACGTCCCGGCGTTCGCCGACATACCGGCGCACGATTTTCAAGCTATAGGAATAGCTATACGTACCTGCAAGACTGATATGCGAGTGTGTGTGAGTATTATCTACCACACCGCTATATTGCCTTTCAACCTTCGACTTCCGACCTCCAATCAGGACCGTAATAGCCACCAGATTGCCCCCGAACAATCAACGCGATGCTCGCGGATTACCGGAAGTGTTCCTCAATGCACAAAGGGAAGTTGTAAGCTGTAATCATCGAAGTGGCTGTTAAGGATGGATAAACAATGCTTAAGAGATTTGCATTACTTAGTACAATTTTAATATGGAGTAATTATGCCACGAAAAAAAAATTAGGTAAATTTTAACTGTCTCTATATTACACAGGAAATTTAATTATCATGCCTGAATTTTAGCTATAATAGCTAATATTTTTCAGCTATAAAATTCTTCATTAAACTATAGCTAAAAAATATTAGTTACTACAGCTAAATTTAAGCATGATAATTATAATTAAATTTTAGGTTGCAATAATGTATATATAAGGACAACTAAAATTTATGGTAAAAACTATGGTAGGTACAATTTTTTTCGTGTATTGATAATTTTTTTATAAGAAATAAATATTGTAGGGCAACTAAACGAACAAAATTACATAAGATCTAAAGATATTTATTAATAATTAAATTCTCATTCTATTAGAGAAACAATATACAACGTAAACGTTTCGACTACACTACAATCTTCTTCAATACATAAAACTCAAATATTTAAATACAAAGTTAACGATTCTTCGCTGATGAACAATAGATGAGTAAGACGATTGGTCTGAGATTCCAAGTTTTGCGACATGCTGTGGAGATTTTACGCGAATTAAATTAATATCAAAGAAAATTAAAAAATCTTTCAACTTACATTATCGTTTTAACAAGTTCTTCTTCTCGAAATTTCAAGTATGTGTTGCGAAGTCTAAATAACAAATGTCAAGGTAGAGAGCGTGATGTATATATTTATTACCAATGTTTTTCTAAACTATGATCCAGCTAATTAATTCCATTTTTCTGTTCTTTAACTTGTTAAAACGATAATGTAAATTGAAAGATTTTTTAATTTTCTCTGATATTAATTTAATTCGCGTAAAATCTCCACAGCATGATTAAATGTCGCAAAACTTGGAATCTCAGACCAATCGTCTTACTCATCCATTGTTCATCAGTGAAGAATCGTTAACTTTGTATTTTAATATTTGAGTTTTATGTATTGAAGAAGACTGTAGTGCAGTCGAAACGTTTACGTTGTATATTGTTTCTCGAATAAAATGAGAATTTAATTATTAATAAATCTTTAGATCTTATGTAATTTTGCTCGTTTAGTTGGCCTACAATATTTATTTCTTTTAATTTCGTTAATTTATACGAGCCTTTCATTAATTAATTTTAATTTTTTTATATTCATAGATTTTTATGACTATTTTTACTTAAATATCAATTAACATTTCTATTCGCTCGTGTATTGTATAAAACAACAAAAGTATTCAAAAAAAGGCCAACTTATCGAGCAATATTCAAGATGTTGTATCCAATTAAAATTTATTTCATAAACAAAATATTAAAATTACAAAAAAACCTTCCATAAACGTTTCAACCGCACGCGGTCTTCCTCAGTATAACAGTGTTACGTAATTTATAATTCTTACAAAAAAATAGATCATACTATTCTTAAACTTACTAATAGTCCGTTAATTCGAGTCGAGAATTTATTAGAAATTTATGCGTGTTACAATTTATCATATTTAATTTATAAAAGTATTCGCCGTAATGTGATCTTATGATATTAGGTCTCGTAAATTATTTCTTCTGTCGCCTCTTCTCACAGTTTTAACACCATTTTTTAAAAAATTTTGAAATTATTATAAATAGATAAAACCAATAGTCTAACAAGACACCTCACTTTGAACTATATCAAGTCTTGTTAGACTATTGGTTTTATCTATTTATAATAATTTCAAAAATAAATAATTTCGATATAGTTCAAAATGAGGTGTCTTGTTAGACTATTAGTTTTATCTATTTATAATAATTTCAAAATTTTTTTTAAAAAATGGTGTTAAAACTGTGAGAAGAGGCGACACAAACGCCTATGAATATTAAGAATTTCTTGCTTAAAAATGAAGAAATAAATTTTAATTGGATACAACATCTTAAATATTGCTCGATAAGTTAGCTTTTTTTTTTGAATATTTTTGTTATTTTTACTTAATTATATTTTGATTATTTTAAAAATTTATATCAAAAGCGTAACGATATTCCAGACAAATTACGTAATTCATTACATGGAGTAGCTCGAGATAACGTTATCGATCTAGATTTTCGTTGCTCGAAAACAACATAAATATATATGTATATATGTATATAAATGTCCCACGAACAACAAATTATCTGATTTTGCATTTATCACATCATGTATATCTCCGAAAAAATCTGTTATAAAATATGAAAAATATAAATAAAAAATCTTTTTGCAAGCTACATATATATATATATATATATATATATATATATACATATATATAAATGTGACTTTGAGGATAATATATCACTAAAACAATAATAATTACTCATTTAGAGACTCGAGCGATAGTCATCCATTTGAAAAACTTCATGACTCGTAAAATAAAATGTTATATTGAAAGGATAAAAGATGACTGTCCTGCACGGACAAGCCATTTTTTACATTTTTATCTACAAAATTCTACACGCAGACGAGATGGTTATCAAAATGCTATGACTACATATCATTGTTACGGTGATTTTTTTCGTATATCGAAAGTTCAAAATGAACTATTGATTCATCAACATACAAAACGTAAACATGTCATTGTATCAAATACGTGCGTGTGTTTTTATATCCATATATATATATATATATATATATATATATAGTGTGTGTGGGGGGGGGGGGTGTGTGTGTATTCCCACAATTTTATTAACTTTTAATTCATTTAAAAGCGATATATGTACTAAAACTACTAAGCATATTTCGTCAGTATAGTTTGTTACAAAACTACATGTGAAAGTAGTTCTATCTTTTCGCGTACGTAATCTTATCTTTATATAATTAAAATATATATATTATAAGTGGATCAAATGTAAAATGATGCTTACCGATTCACGTATGGAACGAAAGAGAGCACATTTCCGGTAGCACGCTTTAATAATTGAATTGAAGAGCTGCCAACTGTGCGCCTGCAAATATTTAAGGCAAGCAAACGCGAGAAAAATAAAAGCAACTAGATATTCGCAATATGGCCAACTGTCATACGATTGTGACGCTAATGAGAGTTTCCTCTCTACGTTGCTTTCATTTATTCCGTGACTATACACGAGCCAAGTTTGACGTATACAGGTTACCGGTGCATGAACGCGTTTTTCATGTATCATCAATCTTTTACGTGAATTAACAATGTTAACGTTTTTGCTTGCGATATGTATTTTTTTTGCCGTACACGCTACGAATCTGGAAACAGTTCACGATGAAGAACTTCTGAATCTCATAAAGACCGAAAAATATGTGATTGTTCTATTTAGTAAGTTTTTTTTTCTTTGCTTATCTGAATGTTTTCCAGAAAAACAAGGAGAGAAAATAAAGTAAAATAATATTATAAATCGATAAAAGGACGATATTGCAGATATTGCATATTATTATGTATAAATTTATTATTTATATTTTTTTTTGTATTAGATAATTGTTTAGATTCTTTAAAATTTTATTCCTTGTTACAATTTCAGTATCGTTTAAGCAATAATTTTATAACATTTTTGTTACACTTGATTTTTTTAATAAAATACATTATTTATATGATATAATTATTTCATTTTCCTTCTAATAACTATCATTTATAGTTATTAGAAGAAAAATAATGTAAAACAATTGAATCTTTAATTATCCTCTTATTACAATATGTTACTAATAATTTCAATTTTATTCCTTTAGCAAGAAAAGATTGTCCAGAATGCGTAAATATGAAAATGAACTGATTCAACTACGCGAGGACTTGGTTGATTCCTTGTCTGCATGGATTGTTAAGACTGTTGATAGTCAATTACTTCAATTATACAGTACTGATAAAGAACCGGTTCTACTGTTCTTCCGGCATGGACTTCCTCTGTTGTATGATGGTATGAATGTGACAGGAAATAGAAATGATGCATAAACATGTTTTGATTATCTTTTATTGCTCTATGACAATACATTATATTTCACAATCTTGTATACACTGTGATATATCACTAAATATATTTCTATTTTTCTCAAATATGTGCTTATAAATTTGTAATAGTTGTACTATAGATTTATATTGCTTCTTTCTTTTCTAGGACGTTTAAATGACGAAGAGATATTAACTATGTTTACGGAGAATAAAGTACCTGCAGTAAAAGAACTCACAGATGATACATTTGAACATTTAACACAAGCAAGTAGCGGTGCTACAACTGGTGACTGGTTTGTTATGTTGTAAGTTTTAGTCCTATTTGTAATTATTATATTTCTATTATAAGTAATAGTAAATAATCCATTGTAATTGCACCCAATATCAGTTACAGTACAGATTGTGTGCAATGTTTACGTATGGTTGCAAGATGGGAAACTGTTGGTGCAAAGCTCAAGCAAAGAGTAAATGTAGCACTTATTAATAAATCCACAACTGGGGTTTCCACAGCCAGGAGATTTAATGTTTACGATATTCCGCATTTTATATTGTAAGTATGCATGTAGATATAAATCAGTATAAGATAAATAATATTTATAATATTAATATTAATAATATTTTTAATTGATGTTTTTAACATTATTAATAATATTAATATTATTCATAATATTTATAATATAAACATATATAAGAGAGAGATAAACGTAAATTTAAAATAATAGTCTGATATTAACATATGTTACTTTGTACTTGTACAGCTTCAGACATGGCAAAATGTACCGTTATGATACAGGAAGATATGATATTAATTCCCTTGTATCATTTGCTAAAGAATGGTACAAAAATGTAAGAGCAGAGAAAGTGCCTGTACCTCAAAGTCCTTTGTAAGTCCTTTGAAGAGATAACTATTTTAAGATTTAATTTATTAATAAATGATACATTAATATGTATAATTGTGTACGTTTTTTCAGTGATAATTTCACGCAAATGATTGCAAATTGGCTCCATGACAATCCATGGATATTGAAACTAGCCAGCATTTGTATTGGAATATTAGTTGTTATTACAGCCGTGTCTAAATTTAAGCATAAACCTGAGACTCCACAGAAAAAAGAAAAATAACTCTACTGCGTTTGATTTGCCAAAGGTATAATATGGATGTTTCTCTATACAAACTATCATCTGCAGTTAAAAATAACTTTTGATTGTACATTAGGTGTTATTACATATGTTACTAAATTTGTATAACTTTAAATTTAATGCACATCTTTAATAATGCAGATCTGTCTTCTTCAAAAATTTCTCAATTTTTTTTGCAAAAAATTTGGTTTTAAAATAATTGAAAAATTCAATTTTAATCTATTAAATTATTATCTATATATATTTAAAATACACATAATTGAAGTATTACAAACTTAAATGCATTTAATGTTTCTCTAAATAGTGATTGATAATGCAAAACGAATATCTAATAATGTATAACAATCTAATGTACAAAATTTGTACTAATTATGGCACAGAAAAATAGATATATTTTTTACTCAAGCATTTAAGCAAATTTATAGCAAATAGTGATATAGAGAGAATGTTTATGTAATAATAGCGAATTTAGAAAAGACAAAGCAATATTATATTAAAAGGTTGCACTGTATAAATAATTTGCTTTGTCAAGAAAAGACTTTTATTGTCAAGCTATTACACACAATATACATTCCACCATTTGTGTATATTCTACCTTTTCAGATATTATTGTTGCCTTTTGTTCAGAGTCTTTTTGTATGAGCAGAATTTGTAAATAAATTATTTCTTTTATTAAGAAGAATTAGAAAAAAAGAAATAGGAATGTATAAAGAATAAAGTGTTATATGTATAAATTTTTTTACAGAAATATATCTTTGATGTAGGAAACCTGATGTCAATAATATTTCGACCTTTAAATTTAAATATAAATTACTTAATCAATTCCTTGCGACAACAATAAATTTTATTGAAGACACATTTTTATATCGAATATATCTGACAGCCATTTGCATTTTTATAATTATCCAAAAAGTGCACATTTTAAAATCGATAGTGTTTCGTTTTATCATTTGTTTAGCTCAATATATTTTCTTTTTAGTTCAATATGTTTTCTTTTTTATATATATGTATAAGAAATATTCTGAATATACATATGCTTCAAATTATTAGTAAGTAAAATATATGAGGCACAATATTGATAATGCCCATAAAATTATCAAAATAGTGGCAGCTCTTTATTTTCAGTGGCCTTAAAAGTCAATATTTCTGCACAAAAGTTTTTCTCCAACAATTTAATTTTCAAATCTATAACAAATATTTATTTGTATGTAAATAAGAGATAAATATAAAAAGTCAAAACTATTTCTTAAAAGAAATACAATGGCACATAAAGAGATTAATCAACAAATTTGCAATTAATTTAATTGATAATTATTTTAACTGAAATAATTGTGTATGCTTTTTACTGATATCTCAGAGTCTTAAAGTTTAAGCTTCAATAGCAAACTAATTCTTGATTAAATTTAAATTTAATAAAATTATTTAAATTAATAAACTATGTATTATATATAAATATACACATTGCTAGCTTTCTAATTCTATGAAATGCAATTTAAAAAGAAGCATTGTGTGTGTATATATCTATTATTTGTTTTGACAAATAAGAACTTTCTCTAATATATCTATATATAAAGTTACATAAATTTGAAGGAAAAGCTAAACCTGTAGTCATTTGCAAAAAAATACAGTAAGATTATAAGAAAACACTCTTAACATCAGAAAAAGCTAAGGCAATTATATCACTAATGAAGAAAAAATAGATTTATAATACATAAATTTCTCTACTTAAATGTCATTTTAATATCACAACAAAAGTGAGATTGTGAAAATATATAATAAAAATTAAGTTTTGTTTGTGCTAGTCTAAAAAAAATTGTACTCATTCATATACCTATTTTGGTCTTATCTTATCTAGAAGGCTTTTGTATGTGCATTAAATATTATCAACTGCCATATTTATTCTAAAAACAGTTGATGGATTAGCTAATGCCATTCTAATGCTCTTTTCGAATTTCTCTTGTATTGATGAGAATTCCATCATGTTACTAGGTTTAGACTCGATCCAAAATCCATCAAATTCATAAAACAAGTAACAGTAAAACTGATGAAAGGCACGAATAGTCGGCAAAGTTTTCGAAGAATTATATATGTGAGTCCTAGCGCTATCGTCCCTTAGTAATTTCAGAGCCATGCTCGTGAGATTTATACCGACAATAGCAAATGCGTAACCGTAATGTGGATGATTAGAATGAGACAATACATGCGTGGCCATGTGAGGATACTCTTGAGCAAAGTAAACGAGATTCTCCAGTCCCAACATTCCCATTCCGCGAAAATCTGTCTTGGGGTCGTCCCCTTGAAAGCCAATCTTTTGCCATTGCTTCGTCACTCTCGCGTCCAGAGATTCGTGCGGCATTAACAGAGTCCATAATTTCAGCAGCAGCTGTTCATGTTGCGGATTCTCCGTGCAGTACGCCGTCTTCCTGAGCTCCTCGCATTCGACGCACAGTTGACGATAACCCCAGATCAGTTCTATACATTTGCCAAAAGACTTGGCGAAGGTTGGATGTGCCCTAGGATTGATTTGCTTTCCCACCAGCACAGCCTTGATCGAGTCCTCCAGGATATTGCGCTCTGTTTTCATAGTTATTTTTCGCTTCTCGGCGACGTCATCCAAATACGCAACCATAATCCTAATGAACTGATTACGCGACTGCTTGAGAGACTCCTCGATGGCGAGAGTGCGCGGTGCTCCGGACGGCTGGCCGTAACAGATCCTCTGGAGTTCGCACATTTGCGTGGTCTGACGCAGAAACCATTTTACCAAAGGTCGGAAGTACCAGCATACCAGACTCCAGATATACCTGAACATTCTTGCCAAGGAACCCGAACGATCCCGGACGATAAAGGTCGAAAGCACGAACGAGTCTTCCTGAAACTGTCACGAGTAACTTTGACATTTTATCATTCTGCCTAATTATCTTGTGACCATGAGCGTCCGCAGAGGCATTTGTCTCCTCCCCTTGGAATCATTAAAACAATTATTTTTGCATATTTAGTATCAAGAAAATAAAAATAATCAAATTACATTTAAAAAATTCAGAAAGAAAAATAAGAAAATTTTAATCATTCCCCCTGAAAAAATTCTGCGGACGCTCATGCTTGTAACTTGTGACTGATTTTCATATAGATAATCTCCCGATAATCTTGTCGTCACACAGTTCTCGTACTCTTTCATCCTGCGAATATAAATGTAATTTACATACACTATGCACCGATCTGCATCGCGTTCGTATGCACTCGGCGTCATCTGTATATCTTCGCGTCTGTTGTCGAGCACAGGCAATAATGACAGATGAAAAATTCTCCTAACCTAACCTAACCTAACCTAACCTAACCATTGAACTCCAATTCGATTTAAAAAACAATACAGCGATACAGCTTTGAAAAAAAATTTGATTATTCAATTAAAAATAATTCTTCGAATTATTTAATTACTTTTATTTTATTATTTTATTTAATTTAATTATTATTTATTTTTCTTTTAATTCATCAAATACACATGAAATGAATGTTTTTGACCATGATATTAGAAAAGCGTCAACCAATCAGAATCTTTGACAAAGATGGCGATCCACCTACTCTTTTTCCCCAGAGTTTGTTCGACCAATCAGAATAAAAGTAACTAAAAATCTCTGCCTCCCGATTGGTCGATCAAACGACACTGCGAAGAGTCGACTTTTCGAACATACCTTGCGGGTGGCCAAAAACGAACAGACCCGTCACGTCGAAACCGGCTTTGCCGATCCAGCGACGCGGTTTTGAACGCGGTTACGCCACTGTATTCAAGTGCGTCGAGCCTTGCACGCAAGACGCCATATTGAGGTGCTGAGAGAGGAGGTATTGCGAGTGTGTTGATCGAATGCGCGGCCTAGCATAGGTGTTTACACGGTTCCGGGTGACAGCCGTGATTGCGAATCGTTGTTCCTGTAATTTGTAGCCGGGCGAGACGGACGATTCGCACGTGACAGGTACATGATATTTGACAGGTACGCGTAGGCGCCTTTGATGACATGAGCGGCAGCGACATTGAGGAGGATCGACGCGAGAGCAGCAACACCATCGCCGGGGAGAGGACCGCGGTCACGATGGACGACGACGATCAGCTGACGGCGAGGACCCACGTCGACGACGCGCCTTTCCCGCGCTCCTCCGTCAACCGGAGTCGTAGACACGACGACGTCAGACGAGACGATGCCTGCGACGACCAGGAAGCCGGGAAAGCGCGCGTCATCTCTGAGAAGGGCTTTCTCAGAGACATCAGGAACATGGAGCTCGCCAAAGCAGCCGCGGCAGCTGTCGCCAAAGTACGTCTTCTCCGCTGACGACGCGATGGTTGATCGCTTGAAATTATAATGAAATAATCATGCGATGGAGGAATATATGACATGAGATCTCTCTCTCTTCTCTCTCTCTCTCTCTCTATCTCTCTCTCGTCAGAAACTTGCTATTAAGACTTCTGAAGCTTAAGAATTCAATCGTAGACTAAATATGATGCCCTTTTTTGTAATGATCTTATAAGTCTTCTACAATGCATTGATAGATAATGATATTTTTATATAATATCATTATTTTAGAGTATTATTATGTTTATTCGTATTGTAAAGATGTGTGCGAGAGCTATTTATCACATTGTACAACTATTGTGAAAATGTTACCATGGTAGACTGTACCATAGGTTATCATTTATTAGTATATTAGATAACATTTAAGTGCTTCAGAAATGAAAGATGAGTGACACTTGTAATGATAAGTGTCAAGAGCTGTCTTATTTAAGTGATGGAAACATAATTATCATGACATTCTTTTCAAATGATTTTCATATACGTACTTATAGGAGAGATAGATCTAACACATTTCTACAATGACACGAAGAAACATATATGAATTTGATTTATTCAGTAAGCTTATTTTCCAAAATTTATATTGGTAACAAAGTGATGGACAATTTCTTAAATTAAACAAGTTCTTATAGCATCATTGTGTACTTATAGATGCAAATATTGTACAGTATATAGATGAGCTTACTCAAAGGCATTGTAAAACTTACAAGCATTTTAATCTTTGTAGTTTGGTACGAACGATCAAGGCATACTCGACGCATTTATTAGAAGTGCAAGAGCATTAGAAGATCGGTGTAATTCTGCAGCAGCTGTTGACAATTCGTCGCATTATGGGAAAGAATCTTACTCTTGTGATTCTTACAAAGCTATAAAGTACGTACAGTGATTATTATGTAGGATATCCCATAAGAAATTGCTGAAACTAATCAGCTGTCATTTTTTAATGAATGCAGTTATTGAGAAAACAAACATTGTGTTGAAAAGAAAGTTTGCAGCTGATTAATTTCAACAATTACTTATGGGACACCCTGTATATCTCAAGCACAAGAAGTTAAAATATAATTGGAAATATTTCGTATGCATAGAGACACCTTCAGAACAACGGACCAAGGCGTGATCGATGCGTTTATTAGGGGTGCAAGAGCGGCTGAGGAAGATCGACGTAATTCGCCTAGAATAAACACCGATGCGCTCGCCAAATTGTACTCCTCTGCAGCAAGTGTCGACAGTTCGTCCCATCATGGGAAAGAGTCCTGCTCTTGTGATTCTTACAAAGCTAAAAGGTAGAGGCAATGATTACAAATCTCAAAGAGAAAGAGGAAGGATGTGATATTAATTGATAATTAATTTGGTAGAGACATGTTTAGAGAGGAGCTACAGAAGGCTATGAAGTTCCAGAACTTGTGGACTGAATTGCAGCAATACATACATGCTGTCTTTAACATTGCTCTGGAAACGGCTCGTGTATCCGACTCTTCACAGACTCAGTTTAGCAGATTACCTTCGATTGATATGAACGATACTGTTATTCAGTAAGAATGATTTTCATCTATTTAAAATATAATTTTGCATTACTATTGATCAATTATATAATATTGTTTTTCTTTTTTTTTTTTTTTTTTTTTTTTTTTTTCAAAAGATTATGCAAAAGAGATCCTCACCAACTGTTCATGAGGTTAGTAAGCCAGGCGCAAGAATTTGTGATAGAAGTAAAAGTTCGTTTATTCGTTCTTTTACACGATCATAGTGTAAACAATTTAGCAGAAATTTTTCTTACTGGTTAGTACTATTTTTTATAAATAATTTTATTTCACAAAAAAATATATATATATATATACATTCAGATAGATATGAAATCTACATCTGGATCTTTTTTTTACAATGTAGGTCTTTTGGATGATTATGATGCTCTTGTAGCGACAGCAATTCTAATTTCTGAGTTAGTAAAACCGTTAAAAGAATACCTCTTCAAGTTTAACTTGACATGGGACTGTTTTATTAAAAAATTGTATCAAATTTATGTATATAATGATGCTTTGGTGCAAAATAATTTACCTACATTTATCGGCCAGGTAAGATAATATACTTTATTGAAAATAATCCGCGAAATTTTCAAGTACTAAATTCAAATATATACATTGCATTTGCAGCTGAGGAAACTTCTGCCATTGAAAGGTTCCGAATACCAAGATCTTGTTCACAGATATTTATTTTTTGACGATGAGATGACGAGAATTGGTAATTTATGGCCCGAGACAGAACCATGGATGGATAAATATAAGTAAGTTAAAAGATAATGTTACAATTATTCTGAACGACTCGATATAGTTATGAATTATGACAAATTATGAAATAGGATTGTATAAGCAAAGTATGTTTCAGTGCAGAACAAGCAGTTCGTATGACAAGACTTAGACAGATTAGAGAAGCTTGGGAATTGTTCACAACAACGCGCAAACTTATGGAGCACAGTATGTTGAGCAAGACACCGGATATTAGCAAGTAAGATGTCACATACAAAAAAAACTTGATAAAAAATTGTATTCAATTTTAATCACGATAATTATTTCAGTGATATGCGAGAAATTCATGGACAGTTTTCTTCGCTCATTGCACATACATCTGGAAGCGATAGTCGACCCTTAAGTCCAATATTAGATCTTAATTCGGATTCTATAGCTATACCATCAAGTATCGAAATAGTCCAAATATTGTTAGACGATTGGAATAAGGCCCAGCATCAAAAGTTAGCGGACATAGCCGGGGCATTGACTGCCACTGAAATGGATGCGGTTGGTCAAAGCGATCTCTGTTACGATTACGCGCGTGCAACATGTCGATTAGCGCAATATGCTATTAGATCAGTCAGGTATGTTTTGTTTCAATTATTTGATAAACTATTTCTTGGATTTTTATTCTTTTGTAATACAATAATGATTTGTTTTAGGAATCACAGTGATGACAGCGACATTGATGTGCTCGAGAATGGGAAAAAATGCGAATGTCATACATGCAATGAAATAGGAATAAGTCATACGGTAAAAAGATTACATTTTACAACCTCATAAATGTATCAATTGATGATTAATATCTCATTTTCAAAGAGAATATAAATTTTATTTTTTATAAAATAGATATATTTTAGTGATGAAAAGTTCCTTTAGTATTCCTTTAAATTTTAATATTCAGATATAATATAAGTTTAATTTCCATATATATATATTAAAATAAAAATTATATATATTACAATTTTAGTTTGAAAAATATATAAACTTTTATAAAAAAATTAAATATATATAACTTTTACATTTATTACATGTGTGTAATAAATTAAAATTTTCTTTAAAAACAATTTATATCAATTAATGACATTTTTCTTACAGAGTACACAAGACAAAATCGAAAATGTCGAGAAAAAAGATACAAATTCATACTTCTCTATGAATAAAATTAATAGTAAAATTTTACGTAAGTAATTTTGCGTATATAATGATGAATTATATAGTAATAAATAGAGAGATTGAAATAAAGAAGAGATAAACATTTTTAGAAGAACTTGTGCAGTATTCAATGACACCGAAGATTAAGCCAGACAGTTCAAGTGACGAAGATAAAAGAAAGAAAGAGTCGATTACACGTGGTGCTCTGCGGAAAGATACCATCTCAAAGACATCCGAATTGGAGCCTTGTTCCTGTGTTTATCAACACGCGCGAGAAATAGCGGAAAGAAAAAAAGAAATCTTAGAAAATCCACCTTGTCCTTGCTTGCTCAACTCGAGACGCAAGTGGGACATGTGCCCTTGCTTGCCTACATGTAAATATAAGAAAATTTTTTGTATTTTCTGTTTTTATTATTTAGCTTAGTTAATCACAACATGAAATTCTACATTAAACAATGCAAAATGTTTTCAAAAGCAGCTATACTCGAAACATCCGTAACGAACGATCGTCCCAAGGCAACGTCACCGACTTCTGTCATGAAGACTAATCCAGAACCGAGCCAGAAACCCACTGTAAAGACAGGTACCACGCAATCCGCCCAGACTCAAACCCAAACGAGGCATTCTATGACGCAAACGCCGAATGCGACACACAACATTCATCATGGTAAGTGTAAGTAGCGAATCGTTTCCACATTATATTCCACGTCACACATTGAGTTTTTTTTCTTCAACTTTATTATACACTTATCTTATACATGTTTACGTCTCTTTGCACGAAAATAGGTAATCCGCATGCTCATGGACCAGATTTGGCGAAAAACACGGGTTCCCAGACTTCTCACTCCAGACTTCATTCGCTCAATCATACACCGCATGCATGTCACAAGCAAGCTAATGTCGAGCATATCAAGAGAGTATCGTGTAATGACTGTCAGTATACTATGTATATTTTTTCATCAAAGTTGCGCTGATTATTTGCGAACTAAATTACATTTCAATCTGTGAGTTTAGTGAGTTCCGGAGATGGAGACTGTTCGGATTCGGGGAGCAGTCAGGAGGACTCGTGTTCCACCAGTAGTTCTGCGCAGAGGGATACCAATATGAGACATTGTGATTGTTGTTATTGCGAAGTGTTTGGCCATGGAATGGTAAGTCTCGATATCTCTAAGCAATCTTGTATTTAAATAAATGGGAAAAATAGCGTAAACGTATATTCGATTTGAAGAAGATTATAATATATAAATACGTCCTTTTTAGCCGTCAGTTGCGCCAGTAAGTCGAAATTATAAGGAAATGCGAGAACGACTGCGACAACTCCTGACAAAGAAGAAAGCGAAAAAATGCAAAGCTGTAGCAACTGGCTGTAGTCCACCAAAAAGTCCATCTGAATCGTCAATTCCTAACACCAATTTCGAATCGAAGACCCTGACGAGTTCGGTTCTTAGATCGAATACTCCAATCTCGACGGCCTCCACGGTCCAGCACGATCAACGAGATCAACGTGATTTAGAAGAATTGTTAGAATTTATCGAAGGCAATCAGAATGGGAAAAAAGACAATAACAAAAAAGCTGAGAAGAAAGCGAGACAGAAACAACGAAAAGTTCGTTAAATTATAAATTATATATAATTTATTAATATAATTATATATAATATGTAATATTATATAATTTTACTACTATAATTCCTACTTTGATGTAATGTTAATTAATGTTTTTTTTTTTTTACAGCTTGAAGAAAAATTGAAGAAAGATAGGCAAGAAACGGAAAGACAAAAGTTAATAGAGTTACAGAAAAAGACACCAGAAGTTACGATCACTGTCGTCGATCCTCAAAAACCTGTACCTCAAAGACCATTACCTCAATGTAATTTACCGGAAGTTTCTATTTTGCCAACATCACCATCCATATCTCTATCCGCGATAAAGCAATTAAACAATAGGAAAAAGGAGAAGCAGGAGATTTGTAGCAATAATAATAATAGCAGCGGTAATAATAGTATTACTAATTTCAATAACAAGACAAAAACGGCGTCTGTGAATTCAAATGCGAAAAATAAGAATATTAACAATACGGAAAAGTACGAAATACGAAATGCGAATTCCAATCAAGGAAATAAGAATAACTCGAAAAACGATAAAGTCGAAAGCAATAAAGGCAAGTCATTAGCAAGTATTAATACCACATGTGCAAAGAACAGTAATTCGAATAATAATAAGGCAGATAATAAGTTATCCGATGTTGACTTACTTGATAAGAAGTTAACGAAAAAAGAGAGAAAGAAATTGAAGAAGGAAATGAAGAAGTTGGAAGATGCAAAGACGAAAGAAGCCGAAAATGTAACACAAACAGAATCTCAACCGCAAATAGTTACTATTAGAAGAGAAATAAATTCAAACAGCGCTGAACCTACAGTCACGATCACTCTGAAGGGTCAGACTCCGGCTGAGGATAAAGTTCTATTTACATTGGTAAATGGACAAACTAAAGAGCCTCCTCACAAGACGGAACAAGAACAAAATCAAAGTAATAGCGGAAAAAAGAAGAAAGCTAAGACAAATAATAACAGTAACCCGCTGCAACAAGGAAATAAATTGCAACAATCGAATAATTCGAAGCAACAGACGTCTCAGACTTCAGCTAAGACTTGCGACAATAAGAATCTGAAGCAACAAGCGAATAATGATAAGTCGAAAATTGGCAAACAAACGGATGAGAAGAAAATTCAACAGCAGAATGTCAATGAAGCTAAAAGTTCCAAATCGAAGAAGGATAAAAGAAACACAGAGAATAAAGAAAACGTGCTGCAGCAGCAAAATACGGTGAATAAGAGTAAGAATCAACAAAATGCAAACACCAACAAGAAGCAGAATAAAACGAATACACCTCCTCAAACGCCGGTGTCGCAGAAACAACAGAATCAGAATATTACAAACGAATCCACGATTAATAAAAAAATGAAGAAGCAACAAGACAAAAATGTGCAATCAAACGCCAATAAGAGCAATAATAAAAATATTATTAGTAACAACGCGAATAATAGGAACGTTGTATCGAATAAGAACGAACCTCAAAAGAGTGTAAATAAAACGAATCCAACAACCGCAAACAAGCGACAACGTGTGCCTACAGAGGTCCAAAATACATGTAACGAACGGGTAACCTCGCCGTCACTCAGTAGCCAGTTTAAAGACATTGGACCGAATTCCAAGATCAACATCGAGAACCTCAAGTTACCGCCAGGCATCACGATCACAAAAGTTGACGCGCCGCCGAAACCACTTCCGATCAAAACGGCTCCTCTGCCGAAACCAGTGAATCCGCCCAAACAAACCACTATTATCGCCGCGCCGATGAGCGGTGTTCAATCGAGTTACGCGAATCCACAGGCCGGAGGAAACGTCATCGTAGTAGACACGGGAAAGCTCAAGCAAGACCTGCTGCCGAAAGCCAATGAGAAAGGTAGGTAGAAGTTAATTGCACATGTACTAAAATATTATAATGGGATAATTGTACATATAAATAAATATAAAATATTTTTCCATGTAGATTCGTCAAAGGATTCTCAAAGTACTACTAGCAAAAAGAAGAAAAAGAAAAACAAAAATTCGGCCAATTCGGGAAGCACGGCGTCTACGTCATCACCAGTGCAGAACAGCGACGCGTTCACGAGCGATCACGTGATAGACGAGCCCGCGAGAATACTGCACAATCCGGTACGAATATGGTGACCATCAAGAATCCATCCTTCGGACCGATGAAAGTGCCGCCAACGCAGCAAGCGGCCATCATCAAGGTGTCGGAGAATGGCATGGTGACAATCCGAAGTCCGGCCCTGCAGCAGGCAATCAATGCAGGTCTGACATCGCCACCCAAACCCGATTATATTGTCAAGGGTGACTTATCGTCATCGGCAACGTCATCGTCGACTGGCAGAATGACGACGACAACGGCGACGACGGCCGATTGTAGCACGTTGAACATGAAACACGCGAACGGCGTCATTCCGTCGAGTCTGGCGGAATTGCGCAGTCGATTGACTTCGCAACCAATAGACTGCACATCGTCCTTGTCCGGGCTCGCCAACATCCAAATTAGCAAGGTGACGAACGGTCAACCGATACCGGAGAACGGCATCAATCTCAAGGGTACTAGCGTCACCCTGACGAAAGTGAAGCCCGAGATAACGAATGTGGAAGACGTGCGACAGACATCGGCGAACAATGCTGCGGTGAAGGATGCGGTGATGATGAACACCAACGGGGGTAGCAAGAGTAAGAAGAAGAAAAAACGTGGGAATGGCACGAGACAATGCGGAGATGACTGGACTCTCGTTGGTGAGAAACAACAATAATCAGACTTTAACATGTAAATTTGCTTTTTTCATTTTGTTTGTTTTTTTCTTTAACATATACATAATACACATATGAATACATTACACATGCGGATTGTTTCTCACACACTTTCAGCTATTAGATTTTTCTTTCTTTTCCTTTTTTTCATGACGATAACTATCCATGCATATTTCTCTTGGAAGTTTGTAGGTGTTTATCTTAATCTACTGACGATTTCTTTTTCCTTCCATATTATCAAGAGGACACTGCACTATTTAGGACATGCGTCATCTGCTAGGTCAAAAGATTTTTCAAATATCGGATAGAAAAAGAGAATGAGAGAGGAATAAAAATATAAAGAGAGATTAAGAAAGAGAAATATTTTTACATACAAATTTTCCTGAAGGAAAAGAGAAACGAATGACCAGCTAGCTTTTTATTTTTCATATTTGTTCTTATTTCTTCAACTGGATCATGCTTATTTTTCTTTTTTTTCTTGTAACCACACACAAGTTGGTTCGAAAGTACAAGGCAGCTAGTAATCTCCAAATCTAAATGTGCGAATTCTTTTGATCAGTTTTCTTTCTACAAATATAAGATGCGAAGCAGTGTTGTCTTGATAAATGCAAGTACCTGAGGATAAACAGAATGTATGATAGAGAATCTCTTTGAAAGAAATCTACATGTATAATATGATAAAACGTTGTGAACTATTGATAAAAGTAAATAGACAAAACACTCGAGTAGGTCTATTATTACAACAAAAGACACAAAAACATCATGTAGGTGTGATTTAATCGTGATAAATGATACACACGAATGTGATACTAGTATAACGATATTTTTAATCTGCTGATAATATTAAATAAAAAAGCAAGTTATATTTTTCAATGTTATACTCTTTTCTTTATCGGAATGAAGGCTTGCCAAAATACTGCATGAGTAAAACTATAATAATTCGCTTTTTTCCTCTTTGTCCTTTTCTTTATTCGACAAAATTATCACTTTACTACTGACAAATTACAATAAATTTTAGAGAAGACAAACAATTGTTTTCCCTGCACGAGTGTTTCAACAAAATTCTTATTCATTTTATTTAAGTTTTTTTGCAGCTAATAAATTGTAATGATAGAAATTTGAGAAAATGGGAATGCGACATTGGCTGTTTTATAAGAGATGTGACGATACTGTGTAACGAAACATAATGATGTGGATTTACATCAAGAAGAATTTGGGAGCTGATACGAATCTCTTTTTTCTCGTCTTTCTGTACGGTCACTTTTCTTTACTCATACTCATACTCAGTAGATTTAAAAAAAAATGAAAGAAAAGAAATGCACGACAAATTTTGTGCCACTCATTGCTGTGCTCGCAGGCGAATTGTCAGGGTATCATGTATTTAGAACGTATCTTTTACAGAGAGCGTATTCGCGCCCAAAGCTATAGGCGGGGACATGGACTGGATCGAGCGTGAATTGGAAGAATTCAAGAGGTTCTGCCAGCAATCCGTACCGCCGCCACACAAGGAGAAGGTCAATCTCAATATCAAGGATATCGTGCTGAAGAAGAAGAAGTCGTCTTCGTCGTCGTCTTCGTCATCGTCGTCGTCGTCGTCGTCGGCGACAACCGCTACCGGGGCCGCCACTGCGATAGCGGCCAATTGATATGTCGATTAATCTCGCGTTATCATACAAAGTGCGCGATTACTGCCATTGTGATGCCAGTTCGATGCGTTGTTTGTCTTTTTCTTCTTCTTTTTTGAATGCGATCGCCTCGTGAATGATTCGCCTCCGATCGTTGTCGACGATTTCAAAGAAAGACGAATGTATGCCTTTGTAGATGAATATAATCATTAGCGATTCTAAATGGAAAAGGAAAGAGGAAATTATTACTCTCGACGGAGGGGTAATAATTGAACACACAAATGACATTATTATTGTATGTATATCGTTAAATGTAATTTAGAAAACGAATTTCATCGCGGCGAAACGATAAATTCGTCGCATCGTCGGGATGTTGACTTTAAAAGTGTCATCCCGAGAAGAGATTAACGATAATTGTAAAAATTCGGCCCCGCCAACATTTATATAATAATGAGTGCGATTGTAAAGTTTAACTTGAAAATATCGTAAAAAGTGTCACTAGAAGCCACAGATTTGTTTTTTGTGATTCCAAGAATTCTACAAATCGGCAAAAGTTTATAAACTTACGCCCTAAATATACATATGTGTGACCACGAGCAGGTAGACGTAAGCACACAATATCTGTTTCTTTTACTTTTTTTTCAATAAATGTAGAAGTCTGTTTCTACCTATTTAGAACGTCTATATCATCTCTACATGTCTCTGTCAACATTTCCTTGTAGACGTAGTCTGTATTGATATAAGTAATTTAGTGTAGTAAATATACTGAGAAGATTTATATACATAATTCAACAAATGTACTCGCAATGTTTCTTATTGTATTGTAATTAAAGTACTTTTATACGGTAAACAAGACTAAACATGCGCGATGATCTGCTCATTTTTTAAATGTATAAATTTTATATATAGTCTCATATATTACATATTGCTACATAATATTATTTATCATATTTTTATTATGCAAGCAATTCCTTTAAAGAACTCTTTTCAGTATGTCTTTTACGAAAATAGAAACATTTAAAATAATATTTTATGCATCGATTATGTATTATTGAAAAATTACATAGCAATCGAAATTGAAATTAACTGAATTTGCATATATATTCTCAATTTTTCATATTTTTCTCTTTATTATATTAATTTAATCAAATATATACATTAAACATAATAAGTTATAACGTAATAGCCTAACAGTATATTGATTATTTAAGCTTAAACTATTCGAAATTATATTGTTTATTTTTAATATATCGCGTATCCGAAAGTAAAAAGTACTTTTATTTATCTGTTTTGTAAAACTTGCATATATAGTTTTTTATTTTAAGCGAAAAGAAATAAAAATATTGTAATTTTTTTAATTTTAAATATTTTAGTAAGACTTTGCGAAATGCACAAGACAAATTTTCGTTAATACATCAAACAATTAAAATCTCAAATTGAGATTTATGAAAATTTATATAAAAAAATTTTTTTATGTAATCTTGTTTAAATATTTTTTATATATTATCGATTGTCGGTTTAATAGTAATCTTACTTATCGATTTGTTATTTAGTACCTCATTACACCGTTAGATGTCTCGCGAGTAAAAAATGTACTTTTGGGATAATTTCGTACAAAAGTACATTGAGTTTTCTAATTGCAAGCGTATAGGTATATATCTTGAATTAGACCTTTTTTTATTAGCATTCAAGCAACAATAATTACACTTATAATAGTAATTCTAACAAGAAATAATCTCCGCATCTCCGCAAGGTATCTTAAAAGCCACTTGAAAAGCAACTTTACGATCAATTTAATCGGCGTTTAACCTGTTGAAGGATACATATACATATATATCTTGCGTTTCATTAATTTTTGTTAACATAAAAAATGATTAATATTTTTGTTGCTTGATACATATTTGGAAAGAAAGATTAGATGGGTAACAATGAATAATATAGAAATTCTATTACAGACAATTCTACAAAGCTTTAGCCGATACGAAATTAAGATGGCCGATTAAGTTAATCAGAAATTAATCTCCCCAAGTGGCCCTTAATTAGATCATAATGTTTTTCTTCAACATCGCTAATTGGTTCTTATTTATTTCTTTGCATAACGTAGAAAACATTTAATAACTTATTATTAATATATTTTCCAAATCGAATATGTATTGTACGTAATTTCGATAAATCTATTGTCACGAATTAACATTTTCGCGTGTTTATAGGTAACGAAATTACATGGATTTTAATCATCGTTCCGAAGAATGTAAACATCTCTACACGCATCTGTTTGAGAAAAAGCTTGCGGCATTAACAGTCTAAGCTCGCAGTGGTGTGCGAAGGAGAGAGCGTCACGGGTGTCATCGAGGAAAGCGATCGTTCGATGGATTGTATCGCCGGGGCGTGTTGCTTGATCAACATATGCCGCAAGGATTGCGCTTCCTCCCGAAGGGTCACTATCTGCGCCTTGAGAATCGCGTTCTCGTGCTCTAGCATCGTCGCCCTTAGAGCTATCTGTGTAAGTAGAAAAGAGATAGAAATATGCGTACATATGTATATAGACATGCATAAGTTTCATTCTTTGTGTGATGTGTGTGTCTATATATAGGGTGGACCAATAACTCTGTCCACTTATTGGAATATTTCCGTTTTTAGAGAAATACAAATTATTGTAATTACGAAAATTGTACAGTATTAAAAAGGCCATATAATATGCTAATAATAATTTTTTTGTAGGTGGAGGTATTTCTGGTAATTCGAGATTATTATTACTTTTTTTAAGTGGATGGAATCATAATTTTTCTCACCTAAATTGATTTCTCGTAATATTTGGTATAAAAAATTGTTAGAATTTAATGGACAAAAATGAGATAAATTTTATGTTTTATTCTGACACATTTTGGCAAAAGAGATGCAAAATTGTATATGTTCATATATTTTTAATAATATCTTATTGCTTAATAATTTTTGCATAAAATAATATGAGATAAATCAATTGATACAAAAAAACATATAGTTATTAGAAAAAAGTATGTAATTGCACATTGTAAATTGCAATTTTTTTCACAAGAGTATGTTTTTCTATTAATTTCTATTTATCTCAATATGCTCTGAAAAAAATTGTGAAAGTAAGATTATTGAAAAATTAGTATATTATGAATGATTTTTCATATTTTTTGTCAAAATATATCAGAATGACGCATATAAAATATCTCATAAAGCATACATTTTTTGAATATTTTATTCTAACAATTTTTTTACGCTAAATATAACAAGGAATCTATGTAAAAAATTATGATGGTTCCATTTAAAGAAGTAATAATCTCGAAATCTCAGAAATGCCTCTACTTACAGAAAAAATTATTACTAGCATATTATAGCTCTTTTAATGCTGGACAACTTTTATAATCGTAATATTTTTCATATATCTCAAAATAACATTATTATTTTATTATTGCAAAATACAGAATGGAATTTTATACTTGTGTAAATACAAAAACTGCATCAATCCAAAATATTGAATTATTACGTCGCATTGGTGCTATATTATTGTTAATCTTAAACATATTGTTCTCTCTATCATATTTGATAGAAAAATATTTGAAAGAAAATTATTTTATTCTTACATGATCCTCTCTGATCTTGCGGGCATCTCGCGACTTCTTCGCAGCTTGATTATTCCGTTTACGTCTCTCGTAATATTTCTCGTCTTTTTGATCGTCCGGGATCGGTTTCTTTTCGCTTCTAGGTCTTCTGTGAAGCGTGTTTATGCCGTTTGTAGTAATGAAGTGACGGTTCACGGTACCTGTTTTGTCATCGGTGAGAAAACACGGGTTTTTAGTATCATTGCGTAATTTTTAACAAGATAAAACAAAAAAATTTGCCCCGGGTGAGGATCGAACTCACGACCTTAAGATTATGAGACTTACGCGCTGCCTACTGCGCTACCGAGGCGATTAAGGAGGTACGCTTAATCAATAAGTAAATCGTAAACGTCTCTTCATGCAAATAATTAATATCAAAAAATTGTTTAACAGGAGGATCGAACGTGTTAAGGAAAAATTAGCTTACCCGAAGAGGAAGTCGAGAATGGTTGAGGAACACTCAGAGATTGCATCAAGGGTGGCACCGCAGCTAGAAAAGGCGGTTGAAGCAGAGTTCCAGGAAGTGAGAATGTTGTTGACAAAGAAGAGGATGTTAACGGCGAGGATGAAGAGTCCGCTGCCATGGAATTCGACAAAATATCCGGCTCGACGAAATAATCCCGAGACGGATACGCTTCGTATCTACATAGATCTGTTAATGAAGATGAGAATTTTGTCAATTTTATTCAGGTATTGTGCATTTAATTGATTGTATTCGTTTATTTCATATTGTTAACGCGAAAAAAAGAATCTGCTCACTGGGAAGAAGGACTAGAAAGTTTAAGTAACATGCTATCGACCGCCCCTGTGGCCTAATGGATAAGGCATCGGTCTCCTAAACCGGGGATTGTGGGTTCGAGTCCCACCAGGGGTACATTTAATTTTTTTGTTGTAATAAACAAATAAATAAAAGATATAAATATTAACACTTATAGCAAAATAAAGATATAAGAATATCTTTTTAATAAAAATATATTAGCTATAAAAAATTAATTAGATAATTAATTTTTGCGTATATATAATAACAAATATTATACATATATGCATAATTATACATTTTTCTATACATTATTAATTTTTTAAATAACAATATGATATTTCATCAAAGTTAAATTACATATATTTAACTATTCATTCATTTCTCTTCTAGGATTAATTAGCTTTATGCAAAATATAGCTTGCTCACTCGCTTGATCGATGGACAATTTATTTGACACTTGGAAATTTCGCCAATGAGAGCTGAAACTTTTACTCCAGCTGGCTATATACATTATAACACAATTGTATATGCTACCGAACTATGAAACTAATGGGAATCCGAATGTCGTGATAATACAACTTGTCAAGGTTCGTGCGAAACTGTGCAAACGTTAACGTCCGTACAAATTGCCGCGACTGTTATAATTAAGTCGTAAAATTTCTTTAGACGTTAATTGTTCAAGCGGTAGTTACATTTTTAGGGAACGAGAGCGATGTAAGGGCGATGCTATGATAAATGAGACAACCGCTTGTACCAAGAGAAATGACCTCGCAAAAATCAAATAGATTGAGACGAATGCAACTCGTACATTTCAACATACATATTTTAAATGTGAGTATAAAATAACATTATTTATAGTCTAATTAATATGAATATATGGACTCATTATAAGAGAGTTTTAACATTATTTTTTAATAAAAATAATTATTACAAGTATATGGATATTATATGAATTACAAAGAATGATATATACATATATATAAAAGTAATAATAATTAAATTATAAATGTTATTTGTTTGTCTTAGTCTATATTACTTAAGCTTGCGATTGTGTAGAATAATTCTAAATTTCAACAGACAGATATAGTAAAATTAAGTTTAAAAAAAATATACCTTCACCGTGACAATGCTCTCGCATTGCCGTGACCAGGATTCGAACCTGGGTTACTACGGCCACAACGTAGGGTCCTAACCACTAGACGATCACGGCTACTGAAGGAGTTAAGAGAGGACTGGAAATTGTAGCAGATCAATCCAGATGTCAGTCAACTTGCTCGCTTATGCATAACGAAAGCAAGCAAGCGACAAATGAAGAATACATAACGCCTATTTCTTACTATATTATATTTCAAAACTTTTTGAATCTATAGAATAAAATAATAAATAGTAACATAAAATATAGTATAAAATAAAACCAAAATAAAATATTAGTAAAAAAATTAAATAGAAAAATAAAATATAAAATTATATTATTTATTAATTCATATTACTTATAAAACTGTAATATTTTTTGTTATATAATAATATAATAAATTAGTAATAGAAGAATGCTTATACGCGAGTAGAAATGAAATTTCAATTAGCTATATAGAGTATTCCAAAACTATTCGTATAAAAGCAATGCAAATAAAAAATATGATACATATGTACTTGTATATAATTTATACACTGCAATATTTTTCATAACGTAATAACTAAAATTTTAAATATATTTCAGATTGTTTCAGAACTATTGGAAAATCGATGCGATGAAAGGAAGTGATTTTGGACCTCTAAATGATATGTTTTTCAACCAAGGAACTTTAACGCACCTGAATTTGGGGCGAAGAGACTGTAACTTCGTAAGAGATGCAACGCGGAGAATGCACCAGAGACTGCATTTTCTGTGCACATCGTCCTTGCATGAGAGTGTGAACTCATTGCTCGAGAAATATTCTCTTCAATATTCACAATCAGAATCAAGGTAGACTCCACACATCTTTTCGATCAAACATTAAATTCTTATTTGCCCCAAAAGACACAAACATAATATGTAACATCAGATCATATAATATCCCATCTACTTAAATCATAAATAAAATTTCAAATCTTAAGAATTGTTTCAAATATAGATCGTGCCATAGTTGCCAAAAACGCATCTTTTATTAAATCAAAAGATTCTGTTTCTCAATTATTGTATCCATATTTAATCACAGCAAAAGGACTTATACTCATCAACTCTCTTCCTCTTCTAATTTTATTTCGTGATTTATTTTATGATTTATTACGTTTTGCACATATATGTAAAATATTCAATTAATATTGGATTTTAGATTTGACGATTTATCTTTGATACTTCTTATTAATGCAAACTTTTTCGGGGGCAAACTGTATCACTTAGCAATTGTATTGTTCGTTATTTACGCGTTTCACGTACATGATTAAAAATGATTTAATAACAAAGTGATAAATATAAGGCCAACTTATCGAGCTGAATATTCGAGATGTTCAGTCAACTACCATTTATTACATGTATAAATTATAAAACTACAGTCATTATATTAAAACTAACGCAAATTACAATCATTCTATAAACGTTTCGACCGCACGCGGTCTTCTTCAGTATAATTATTGAAATATAAATTCTTACAATTCACATAATATCGAAATTTAATTATAGTTATTCAGAATCAAGAGTTTTTGAGTAATTAACGCGTGTTTCAATCCGTCCTGTCCAACAATGTTCGCCTCGATATGATCCCTGATTTTGTTCAGATCTCGGATAGTTTCATCGTTAATATGCGAGAAATTAACCCGTTCCGTAGGCGCTGCGATTTATAAAAAATTACCGATCAACGCATGTCCAAATTATAATATGTATCCCCTACAATTGGTAGTATGCTTACCTATCATCGTTCTTCTTGATAATTTTGCTACTTATTAACAGTTATTAAGGATGACACATAACAAACCAACAATACAGAAAGACAGCTCATTTTAAACTCTACTTGATCGGAGAGCGTGCGTGTTTATATATGATCTAATATCTATGTTTTACTCGTTAATGTCCTATTTGTCCTATTATTATTTCTTGTTCGCTAATATATCCAAAATATCAAAATACGACTCGCTAAGTAACTCAGTATCTTTGTTTAAATTTAGTCCATTTTTTTGTTCCTTGATATGTAGCATCTCAGAAATGAGTCTTTTATAATAATTATTTTCGTTGTCCATGATCTTAACATTGTCCCAATTAAAAGTATGATGTTCATTTATTATGTGTTCAGAAATTACTGAATGTTTCGTTGAGTCCAACCTAATATTATTTTTATGTTCTTTTATTCGCGTCTGCAATTGCCTCTTTGTTTGGCCTACATAAGATGCATTACAATTATTGCAACTGATCTTATAAACCACATTCGAATTGCATGGATGTTTAGTTTTATCTTTCTGCGCTTTAATAATATTATCCAGTTTGTTGAGACATCTATACCCTACCATACAATTTTTATTTTTACCGAGGAAACAATCATTTCTGAGATCCCATCTATATACGGAATGACAAAGAATTTTTTATTGACCGAGTCATTTCTTATACTTTTTGTTCTTTCTATGTTGGCCTGTCTCTCTATAATGCTCCCCTTAGATATGATGTGTTCTATCCGATGATTAATTTTGTTAAAAATCAGATCAAGAGGGTAACCATTGCTTCTGAGTATATTAATAATTAACTCCAAATTTTTATTAAAAAATAGTGGATGTGATAGCAATAGACATCTGTCTACAAGGTTATATATTATTCCTATTTTGTGGCATAGTGGGTGGTTTGAATAAAATGATAACGTCCTTCCTGAGAAGGTTTCTTTTTGATACCAGTCTATATATTTTGTTATTAATAATTTTAAGTGATAAATCTAAGAAATTCAAGCTATGGTTAACCTCTTGTTCGACCGTGAATTTAAGTCTTTCATGATAGTTGTTAAAATTATTCACAATCTGAGTCATATTAGTCATAGAGGTGGCCACTATTATGTCATCCACATAACGAAAATAAAACAAACATTCCAAATTCAACGCTTTGAGAACTGTATCCTCAAGATCTTGCATAACCAGGTCTGCAATAATTGGTGATAACGGTGACCCCATAGGGGTCCCAAACGTCTGTTTATAAATTATGTCATCAAATGTAAATATGTAGAAGTCAATATGAATTTTATACCCCCCAAAAATTCGTTTTTCGGTATTTTAGTATTTATTCCAATGTGATCCCATCTATCGTTAATACCGTCAATCGCAAGATCCAGAGGAACGTTCGTAAACAAAGACACCACATCCAAGGAAAACATCCTATCATTCTCATCAATCTTTTTACCAGACAATATGCTGTACAAATCAAAACTATTATTAATATGACTTTTCGCTTTGGGTAGACTAGTTCGTAAGGTGTTTTGTAAAAACGAAGCCAGCGAGTATAGAGCTGTATCAACCGATGAAACTATGATTCTAACTGGATAGTTTTCCTTATGGATTTTAGGTAATCCATACGCTTTTGGAAGGAGAGAATCACTACAACGTAATTTATAATATTCGTTTTTTGAAATATAATCTTCCTTAAGCCATCTCTTCAACAAATCATTCAAATCGTTCTCTATTTTTTTGCACGGATTTTTTTTAACAATAGTGTAAGTGTTGACATCTTTTAAAACGTTTTCCATTTTGTTAATATAATGAGATCTTTCCATTGCCACCGTAGCATTACCCTTGTCCGCGCGTGTGAATAGAACATTCGGATTGTCTTTACAAAATTTTATTAAATCTCTGTGTGCACCAAGTAATTTTTGTTGACTTACGTCATTTTTATCCTTCGTGTTCAGAAGTTGTGCAAATTTTGGAACCGCGATATTTCTGATCGTTGTGAGATTATTAATATTATTTCGTTTGCTATTACTCTCTATGTCCTTGATGAATTCATGTATCGCTGTTTTTTACTAATATTCGGAAGACAGAATTTATCACCCATTTGCAACAGATTAGAAACGTTAGGCGGAATGTCTGTGTTGGAAAGATTAACAAACCATTTTTTATTAGTATTTTCCAAAGGGTTAATTGTATCATTGAGAAATTTATTGGCTTCTATGTGTATATTGATCTCCTTGGCATCATTAGTGATTGCCCTGAGAGAATTTTGTGATATTTTCGTCGGTTGTGAAGTTTCAAAATGTAAAGAACAATGTATATCTATAGGTTTGATGCTGTTGATATACTTATAGTGTTGTTTCTCTTAAGCCAATTGAATTTCTTTTCGTGTGCAGTAACCAATCTGTTGTGGCAATTTTTAAAAGCAATGTTATGATGTTCGAAAATTCTATTCCACGCGAGTACAGGTAAACGATTAAATAACCCGCTGGTGAGATGAAAAATCCTATTTTGTAATGACTCTACCTGTCTATGCAATCAAAGATTTCAATGCTCATCGCATTTGTTTTGAATTTGTACAACATACTATCTAGTCTTCTGATCGATCTGTGATGAAAAACGTTAAATTTAATGCGGCAAAAACCTTCTAAATGTGTAGGAAAAATATCGCCATTTTTACAATTTCTTAAAAATTCCATTTTGCTCTCGCTCTTATTAACAAGTAATTCGCATTAATCCATTGTTTAAAATAATCTGCGGTTATTCTTCCAAAAACTCTATGAATAAAATTAAAATTAAAATAGTAATCAGTCCGTTTTGTGTTAAATTGACGCATTGTAAGGCCAGCGTATATTAAAAATAAATTAATACAATGTCGCTCGTATATTGAAAACAAAGTGATAAATATAAGGCCAACTTATCGAGCTGAATTTCGAGAGTTCAGTCAACTACCATTTATTACATGTATAAATTATAAAACTACAGTCATTATATTAAAACTAACGCAAATACAATCATTCTATAAACGTTTCGACCGCACGCGGTCTTCTTCAGTATAATTATTGAAATATAAATACAAAAGATTGATGAGAATGATAGGATGTTTTCCTTGGATGTGGTGTCTTTGTTTACGAACGTTCCTCTGGATCTTGCGATTGACGGTATTAACGATAGATGGGATCACATTGGAATAATACTAAAATACCGAAAAACGAATTTTTGGGGGGTATAAAATTCATATTGACTTCTACATATTTTACATTTGATGACATAATTTATAAACAGACGTTTGGGACCCCTATGGGGTCACCGTTATCACCAATTATTGCAGACCTGGTTATGCAAGATCTGAGGATACAGTTCTCAAAGCGTTGAATTTGGAATGTTTGTTTTATTTTCGTTATGTGGATGACATAATAGTGGCCACCTCTATGACTAATATGACTCAGATTGTGAATAATTTAACAACTATCATGAAAGACTTAAATTCACGGTTCGAACAAGAGGTTAACCATAGCTTGAATTCTTAGATTTATCACTTAAAATTATTAATAACAAAATATATATAGACTGGTATCAAAAAGAAACCTTCTCAGGAAGGACGTTATCATTTTATTCAAACCACCACTATGCCACAAAATAGGAATAATATATAACCTTGTAGACAGATGTCTATTGCTATCACATCCACTATTTTTTAATAAAAATTTGGAGTTAATTATTATATACTCAGAAGCAATGGTTACCCTCTTGATCTGATTTTTAACAAAATTAATCATCGGATAGAACACATCATATCTAAGGGGAGCATTATAGAGAGACAGGCCAACATAGAAAGAACAAAAAGTATAAGAAATGACTCGGTCAATAAAAAAATTTTTGTCATTCCGTATATAGATGGGATCTCAGAAATGATTGTTTCCTCGGTAAAAAATAAAAATTGTATGGTAGGTATAGATGTCTCAACAAATGGATAATTTATTAAAGCGCAGAAAGATAAAACTAAACATCCATGCAATTCGAATGTGTTTATAAGATCAGTTGCAATAATTGTAATGCATCTTATGTAGGCCAAACAAAGAGGCAATTGCAGACGCGAATAAAAGAACATAAAAATAATATTAGGTTGGACTCAACGAAACATTCAGTAATTTCTGAACACATATAAATGAACATCATACTTTTAATTGGGACAATGTTAAGATCATGGACAACGAAAATAATTATTATAAAAGACTCATTTCTGAGATGCTACATATCAAGGAACAAAAAAATGGACTAAATTTAAACAAAGATACTGAGTTACTTAGCGAGGTATTTTGATATTTTGGATATATTAGCGAACAAGAAATAATAATAGGACAAATAGGACATTAACGAGTAAAACATAGATATTAGATCATATATAAACACGCACGCTCTCCGATCAAGTAGAGTTTAAAATGAGCTGTCTTCTGTATTGTTGGTTTGTTATGTGTCATCCTTAATAACTGTTAATAAGTAGCAAATTATCAAGAAGAACGATGATAGGTAAGCATACTACCAATTGTAGGGGATACATATTATAATTTGGACATGCGTTGATCGGTAATTTTTTATAATCGCAGCGCCTACGGAACGGGTTAATTTCTCGCATATTAACGATGAAACTATCCGAGATCTGAACAAAATCAGGGATCATATCGAGGCGAACATTGTTGGACAGGACGGATTGAAACACGCGTTAATTACTCAAAACTCTTGATTCTGAATAACTATAATTAAATTTCGATATTATGTGAATTGTAAGAATTTATATTTCAATAATTATACTGAAGAAGACCGCGTGCGGTCGAAACGTTTATAGAATGATTGTAATTTGCGTTAGTTTTAATATAATGACTGTAGTTTTATAATTTATACATGTAATAAATGGTAGTTGACTGAACATCTCGAATATTCAGCTCGATAAGTTGGCCTTATATTATCACTTTGTTTCAATATACGAGCGACAATTGTATTAATTTATTTTTAATATACGCTGGCCTTAAAATGCGTCAATTTAACACAAACGGACTGATTACTATTTTAATTTAATTTTATTCATAGAGTTTTTGGAAGAATAACCGCAGATTATTTTAAACAATGGATTAATGCGAATTACTTGTTAATAAGAGCGAGAGCAAAAATTGGAATTTTTAAGAAATTGTAAAAATGGCGATATTTTTTCCTACACATTTAGAAGGTTTTTGCCGCATTAAATTTAACGTTTTTCATCACAGATCGATCAGAAGACTAGATAGTATGTTGTACAAATTCAAAACAAATGCGATGAGCATTGAAATCTTTGATTTGCATAGACAGGTAGAGTCATTACAAAATAGGATTTTTCATCTCACCAGCGGGTTATTTAATCGTTTACCTGTACTCGCGTGGAATAGAATTTTCGAACATCATAACATTGCTTTTAAAAATTGCCCAAACAGATTGGTTACTGCACACGAAAAGAAATTCAATTGGCTTAAGAGAAAACAACACTATAAGTATATCAACAGCATCAAACCTATAGATATACATTGTTCTTTACATTTTGAAACTTCACAACCGACGAAAATATCACAAAATTCTCTCAGGGCAATCACTAATGATGCCAAGGAGATCAATATACACATAGAAGCCAATAAATTTCTCAATGATACAATTAACCCTTTGGAAAATACTAATAAAAAATGGTTTGTTAATCTTTCCAACACAGACATTCCGCCTAACGTTTCTAATCTGTTGCAAATGGGTGATAAATTCTGTCTTCCGAATATTAGTAAAAAACAGCGATACATGAATTCATCAAGGACATAGAGAGTAATAGCAAACGAAATAATATTAATAATCTCACAACGATCAGAAATATCGCGGTTCCAAAATTTGCACAACTTCTGAACACGAAGGATAAAAATGACGTAAGTCAACAAAAATTACTTGGTGCACACAGAGATTTAATAAAATTTTGTAAAGACAATCCGAATGTTCTATTCACACGCGCGGACAAGGGTAATGCTACGGTGGCAATGGAAAGATCTCATTATATTAACAAAATGGAAAACGTTTTAAAAGATGTCAACACTTACACTATTGTTAAAAAAATCCGTGCAAAAAAATAGAGAACGATTTGAATGATTTGTTGAAGAGATGGCTTAAGGAAGATTATATTTCAAAAAACGAATATTATAAAATTACGTTGTAGTGATTCTCTCCTTCCAAAAGCGTATGGATTACCTAAAATCCATAAGGAAAACTATCCAGTTAGAATCATAGTTTCATCGGTTGATACAGCTCTATACTCGCTGGCTTCGTTTTTACAAAACACCTTACGAACTAGTCTACCCAAAGCGAAAAGTCATATTAATAATAGTTTTGATTTGTACAGCATATTGTCTGGTAAAAAGATTGATGAGAATGATAGGATGTTTTCCTTGGATGTGGTGTCTTTGTTTACGAACGTTCCTCTGGATCTTGCGATTGACGGTATTAACGATAGATGGGATCACATTGGAATAAATACTAAAATACCGAAAAAAATTTTTGGGGGGTATAAAATTCATATTGACTTCTACATATTTTACATTTGATGACATAATTTATAAACAGACGTTTGGGACCCCTATGGGGTCACCGTTATCACCAATTATTGCAGACCTGGTTATGCAAGATCTTGAGGATACAGTTCTCAAAGCGTTGAATTTGGAATGTTTGTTTTATTTTCGTTATGTGGATGACATAATAGTGGCCACCTCTATGACTAATATGACTCAGATTGTGAATAATTTTAACAACTATCATGAAAGACTTAAATTCACGGTCGAACAAGAGGTTAACCATAGCTTGAATTTCTTAGATTTATCACTTAAAATTATTAATAACAAAATATATATAGACTGGTATCAAAAAGAAACCTTCTCAGGAAGGACGTTATCATTTTATTCAAACCACCCACTATGCCACAAAATAGGAATAATATATAACCTTGTAGACAGATGTCTATTGCTATCACATCCACTATTTTAATAAAAATTTGGAGTTAATTATTAATATACTCAGAAGCAATGGTTACCCTCTTGATCTGATTTTTAACAAAATTAATCATCGGATAGAACACATCATATCTAAGGGGAGCATTATAGAGAGACAGGCCAACATAGAAAGAACAAAAAGTATAAGAAATGACTCGGTCAATAAAAAATTCTTTGTCATTCCGTATATAGATGGGATCTCAGAAATGATTGTTTCCTCGGTAAAAAATAAAAATTGTATGGTAGGGTATAGATGTCTCAACAAACTGGATAATATTATTAAAGCGCAGAAAGATAAAACTAAACATCCATGCAATTCGAATGTGGTTTATAAGATCAGTTGCAATAATTGTAATGCATCTTATGTAGGCCAAACAAAGAGGCAATTGCAGACGCGAATAAAAGAACATAAAAATAATATTAGGTTGGACTCAACGAAACATTCAGTAATTTCTGAACACATAATAAATGAACATCATACTTTTAATTGGGACAATGTTAAGATCATGGACAACGAAAATAATTATTATAAAAGACTCATTTCTGAGATGCTACATATCAAGGAACAAAAAAATGGACTAAATTTAAACAAAGATACTGAGTTACTTAGCGAGTCGTATTTTGATATTTTGGATATATTAGCGAACAAGAAATAATAATAGGACAAATAGGACATTAACGAGTAAAACATAGATATTAGATCATATATAAACACGCACGCTCTCCGATCAAGTAGAGTTTAAAATGAGCTGTCTTTCTGTATTGTTGGTTTGTTATGTGTCATCCTTAATAACTGTTAATAAGTAGCAAAATTATCAAGAAGAACGATGATAGGTAAGCATACTACCAATTGTAGGGGATACATATTATAATTTGGACATGCGTTGATCGGTAATTTTTATAAATCGCAGCGCCTACGGAACGGGTTAATTTCTCGCATATTAACGATGAAACTATCCGAGATCTGAACAAAATCAGGGATCATATCGAGGCGAACATTGTTGGACAGGACGGATTGAAACACGCGTTAATTACTCAAAAACTCTTGATTCTGAATAACTATAATTAAATTTCGATATTATGTGAATTGTAAGAATTTATATTTCAATAATTATACTGAAGAAGACCGCGTGCGGTCGAAACGTTTATAGAATGATTGTAATTTGCGTTAGTTTTAATATAATGACTGTAGTTTTATAATTTATACATGTAATAAATGGTAGTTGACTGAACATCTCGAATATTCAGCTCGATAAGTTGGCCTTATATTTATCACTTTGTTTTCATATATACGAGCGACAATTGTATTAATATTATGATTTAATTAATTTATCNATATATATATCAAAAAATAGAATAAACAGTATATAATAATTAATAATTATTTCTTTACAGTTATTTACTGATAGCACAGACACAACCTATCTATGAATTATAAAGTTAGTTTTAAACATAATAAAATTATGTACCAATTTTATTGTCGACAACATCTTCTGTCTTATTATTTGTATGTTGTGCTCATTGTCCTGCAAAATATTTGAAATATTCAAAAATCCATCTTGTAAGTGCTTCTGTCGTCCGTTTATTCGGAACTTCATTGGATGATTGATCCACTGATCTGATTGACATTTGTTGCTCTTCGCATTTTCGTAATTTGTACTTTTCAATGATTCTATGTATAAAAAAATAATAATAGTAGTTACATATATAATCTTTGTAATACACAAACTAAACATATTTAATAATATCAGTATATACTTATTTTATATATAATTTTAATTTAGTAGCTTTTATTATTATATTAATTTAATATTTTTTAGTATTTTAGTTTTATATATAATAAAATATATAGAATACTGCATGAATGAACATAATAACATAGGAAATTCAATGCTAATTCTGAAATAATAAAAATATTGGCTCTTCTAACTGTTTTAGAATTAAATTTCATTATTTCTATTTTTTTGAAAAGCATATCAAGTATTGTCCTATATTAGTTTTTTTATTGACCCATTTTAACTATATTGTTAAATACAATTTCTTTAAATCTTGAAGATTCATAAAATTGTATTTAACAATATTGACTTCGCCAATTTAAAAAATTATATGTATAATATATATTATATATATTATTATATATTATTATATTATATTTTAATGTATTATAATATATTTATAATATGTTAATTATTAAAATCTATTTTCTCGGATTTTACAAAATTTGTTTTACATAATTTTGCAACTGCAGTTTTTCTATGTAAATACTTCTGTTAAGTTCTTCTGTATTATAGATTTAATTCAAGATATTGAATGACTAGCTGCTGTCATTAGGATATTATATTTCCCTACACGACATGAAAGATCTGATATGTCAATTGTGAAATGTTAAAATATTGATTTTTCTATTTATTTTCGAGCAAAGTTTTATTAAGTTTTTCGAATATTAAGATTAGTCGATTAAAATTTATATTATTAATGCAATTACTAAATTATGTAAAACAAATTTCGTAAAATCGGAGGAAGTAAGTTTTAAATAAATAATATATCATAAATATATTTTATAATACATTAAAATATATATAATATAATATATTATATATTTTTTATATTATATTATATATATTATGTATATATATATTAATATTTAATATTAAAACGAACTTTGTGTGTTCATAATTGGAGGCGTCCGTAATTTAGTGCACTCTTCGGTAGATTCATCTGATGACGAAAAGAATTTCTTTGGGATAATTTTTCTTTTCGAAATGTTATCATTATCAGTCTCGGAGTTTAATTCAGATGTTAATTCAGCCTTTTTGGCTTTTTCCCTGGCTGTTTTATAGTTATCTGAAAATACAAGTAAATATATTTATATTATTATAACAAAAATAACGATTATGTACATATATTATTGATCACAAAAGTATATGTGGAATGTATAATATTTAAATATTTTATATTAACCATAACTGCTGTTTCTGAAAGTCATAACATTATATGAAGGCCAACATGTATTTGGTTCGGCATGTTTTTTGATAGCCGCTACAATTTTTTCCATGTGAAACGGTGGCCAATAACATTTTTTATTGATAATCCAGGTAGATGGGACAGCTTCAACTGTATCTTCATCTATAAACCTTACTATAGTCCATGATCTCTCCATTTCTTCAAACATTTCAACAAAAATTTAAGGAGCATTTTATTCCAACAAAAAATTCTATTTACAATTTATATATGAAAAGGCGCAAACACTCAATAACTTATCACAAAAATTGCAAACCTATTTCCTCTATATATTATATTGTATATTATATATATATTATATTTATCTATATATTATTATAAATTATATAAAAAATTAACATTTTTTTAGCGAAGAGCACAAGAAAAGAAAATTTTTTAAAATATTCTGAATGTAATAAGGGAAAAACTACATACTTATTTTTATATTTTAATTTCATACATTTATTTGCAATTTGCCCTAAATCCCAGGATTCTAAATTTCCAATATCATTGATTACATATATCCCTAATTTTGACGACTTACATGGTACGGTGTAAAAATCTGTAAGCGTTTTATATTTATTTCCGATTACGAAAAAGCCCTCATTATTTACAACAAAATTTCTAATAACAATAATGTTTTCGTCTTTTAAGCTACAGCAATTATCGGGTTCATTTATTTTTAAAATAAATTGTTTAAACACCGCTTTGCCAAATTGATTACAATTATGAAAATTAATAATAAGTGGACCATTAAAATGTGGTTTTAAAAATTGAGGCTCGTTACATTTCACTCTGACATTAGAATTTATACAATAGTTTCTTTCAGTTATACGACAAACAATTTGCTCTAATTCTTTATTATTTTTACGAATCATTTTTAATATAGATTGTAAGTAATTTTCAAACGGAAAAGCACTGAATTCTTGAAGAATTCCAAATTTTTTCGCGTCATCACAAATATGTAATAAATGATGCAGGTTGTGCGATGCATTTTCTTTACCATATAAATTAATAAATGTTTCTACAAAATATTGCAATAAGGAGTTGGAATAATCTAAATATTGTTCCATATGTTTTGAATTAGACAAATAGTGATAGCTACATGTAAAGTTAAAAATTTAAATATTGATCATGATTTAGAATAGATTTTAAAACAACAGATCCCGTATATAATAAAAAGTTCTAAATTCGGTTGCCTTCCATCTTTTACTTTCAAACAAAGATCTTGATTTTCTATTAAATTCGGAAGGTATATATTTTTTTTGATGTTCTAATAACTTTGATATTTCAGATATTTGACAAAAGGATAACTTTGTTTTAGGTTTTCCGTAACACCATAAAGAAATCAGTTTTTTAACAACTCCCAAGAATATTAAATGCATCGGATCAGATGGAAAATCATTCACCATATTTATATTAGGAATCGATTCAAGTATTGATGTACCTATATGATGGTTTTCTTGTAATTTTAATCGGAAATCGTTATCTGTTCTTAATTGACAACTATTTAAATATGGATAAGTCATTCTATTGAGATAATATTTGCCCTTAGCTGTACATTTAAAACATGCGTAATAACCCGAATGACCCTTTGTATAAGTAATAAAACATCTAGCAGGAACATCGCATATAAAAGATTTAATTTTAAAAGAATAAGTGTGATCTTTAATTTTTATACCATGAATAGTTAAATTTTTGCTTCTTCTGTGAAAGATTGTAAAAATACATTGGCATCTGTGGGTTTTTCATGTCCATGATAAATTCCAATGACATCAACTTCATTGTAATTTTCAACTAAATTACATAAAATGGGATAAACTTGACTACTTGAACTTTTGAATAATGGCAGGCCATCGATGTTAATGTTAACTTCAATACAGTGTAAATTTTGAAAAGAACATCGCGATAAAAGTCTTTCGATGCAATTACTTAAACCGAAATGATAGTAATGTCCTGGTGCAACGACGTCTACATTGATTTTTCTGGGAGTTCCTAATAAACTGCGAGCATTTTTAGGCAATTCCGGATATTTAAGTTTCATATTAGATATTAATTCATTTAACGCAGTATGAGTTATATTATTTTTAATTGCCCATTCTTGCAACCAAGATATAGAATTTGGAAAATCAGTAGTGGAATTTATAGATTTAAAGTTATTCACAAAATTTGTAGATTCAAAGTTATCAAAATTATGTTCTGTATCATCGGGATCACGGTCCGAATTATAATTATTCACGGTTTCTAAATCATTATTGATATAAAAATTATTGCAATCCTCTAAATTATTATTTGAAACTGAAGGTGTACTTTCTAATAATGGCATTAAATTCTTATTTTGAACATTATTAATTACTAAATTAGTTATCTCTTGTGCTCTTCGATAATATTTTCTTCTTATTTTTGGCATTTTTAAAATTAATATTAAAATTTAAAATTTATTAATATTTTTCTACCTTTAATTAATTGATGAAAATCCGTTGAAAATTCGAGAATCGATAGAAATAATAATCTAAAAAATTTATAAATAACGCTATTAGCAATCAGTACAAAAACATTTAAAAAATAAAACAAATAAACAATAATCGGAAAAAAGCGTTGATTTAGTAACGAATGTCCCATGTATACAGGGTGTTTCAGAAATAAATCGCCAAACTTAAAAAGCATATTTTATTTACTGTAAGGATGAAAACAATAACAGATTTTAATAAATCTTTTATAACAGATTTTAAGAACATTTGAAACTGTAACATTTCATTACAGAAATTGTTGAAAATAATTTTCTTCCACATTAATGCACGTGTCGCATCGACATCGCATAGATATTATCGAAGACGTCCAAAAATTCTCGAAATATTTATTTTGTCACACGAAATGATAATACGATTTCGGAGTACTTTCACAGTAATAATACAAATATCATAAATGATTCTATAATATTATTACAGATCCATCTAATAACTTTTTGTTTATTTCTAATAAAAAGTGAATAGGACAATTCATGAAACGAAGCGAGATATATGTTGCCCGATGTAAATAAAAATGTTTATAACTTGAAAAGAAAGCTGTTCCGAATGTTTATATACTTTTTATCATTATAGTGAGTAGAATATGCTCTTAAAGTTTAGCGATCTATTTCTAAAACATTTTGTGTATAGATTATTATCATTAAAGATTATAGAACATAGGAAACGAATATGAAAACGAAAACGTTCAATCAATTATATAATGAATGAAGGAAATTATGCGTGCGTGTGTGCGTGCGTATGTGATGTGTGCGTGAATGTGACAAAATTATTATTATATAATTATAGTAAAACGTCTTACCTTGATAAATTTCTAGCAAATGTCCAATAGATTGTGCAATGGTCGCAACCTCACAGCACTACACTACGTGTATGTATACGTGCTTACAATCGTCGACCGAATAAGGAAAGGTTCACTGACCCAAACATTACACTATCCTATAATAAGGATTCGCGGTTGTTTTGGTCTTGCGCATCACCGCGTGCGAGTACCGCGACGTCAAGGACGAGACGCAGTACCGTTAATTCTGACGGGGACATGTGCCCCGATAATAAATAAAAGTAAATTTATAGATTTAAATAAAATAAGTTATTATTAATAAATTATATTTAATTGGTATATAAAAAATAATAATTTTAATATAAAAATAATTAAACTAAACATTAGTGTAAAAATAATTATAGTAAAAAAATATTGCGATACTAAAGTAAATATTTAATAATAAAATACAATAATTATTTAATAATAATAATAATAATATACATATATTTTGATCGTGGCATTAAAAGAACAGATTTTGTAATATTAAAAATTATTTCTCAAATATATAAGTTTAGTTATAACATTAAATGATACTATAAAAACATTTTTAAACATTTTTTTATATATAAGTAAATGTTAAAAAATATTTGTTGTGATATATTTATTAATAACATATTTTTAATATATAATGACATATATTCAATAAAAATTAAAGGAATTTTTGAAAAATATTTTAAAACATTTTATAGGAACGAAAGGCAAATATTTTTTAAACGTTAATATAAAAAAAAATCAGTATTTAAATTTGAACATATATTGAATGTCCATAGGATGTACTGTTTAGGACATTTGATTCATATCCAAAAAAGGACATCCAATTTATGCCCTATTTATGTCCATGGACATATGGACATAAATTGGATTTAAAATGTACGTCCATAATACATCCAGTGCTATCTGGGATATATGCAATTACAAAAAAAAATAACAATGGAAGAAGAGAAGAAATAAATATAGCATCTAAAAGATCAAAAGAAATAAAGACAAAATGTCAAAAACTAAAGAACATAAAACATATATAAAATTCCCATATTACATGTATAAAACGATCGCGGCTCTTCGAGCGGTACGATCTCACTTCTTTTACATTTACTCGCGGCATTTAATGCGGAACGAGTAAAACGATCGCGGCTCTTCGAGCGGTATGATCTGACTTATTTTACATTTACTCGCGGCATTTAATGCGGAACGAGTAAAAATATGTAAAAATTCGCGGCCTTATGGCGGATCGAATAAGGGGGACAGTTTGGAATTTTTTAAAATTTAGACATAATTTTTTACTTTTTTATATATTTTATATATTAGCAAATATTATGTTTATATTTTAAAAATTACGAATTGTGTCAATTGGCCTCCACGTGGCGTCTCCTGGAAATGCTCTATGAGTAGCTAACAATTGACACACACGCACACACACACACGCACACACGCACGCACACACACATTATTATATTTTAGTTATTATTCTTTTTATCTTATTGCACTTAATATTATGATATTTTGATATTTATTGTAAAATGTTATTTTTATAAATATATAAAAATGTGATTTTAGAAAATAAGCGATTTGTTTTATGTATTTATAAAACAAATTGTTTAATTAAAAAATCACATTTTTATATATTGTAAAACTAACATTTTACAATACCTATTAAATAAAATAATAAGTACAATAAAATAATAAAATAAAATAACTAAAATAATCAATTTTTTAAATTTTACAATATTATAATATAAAATAAAAATTAAACTTTATTTATTTATAAACCACAATATTTATCTCGACTAAAGAGCCAAGCGCGATGTTATTGCGACAAATTAAGATAAGAAAATTTGGAGACTAAGGAATTTGAATCCTATGGTTGGGATCTCAGAAATTCCCCTTGTTCCTTCTCTTAACATCCCCTGTAAAGAAATAGACGAGAAAAATATTGGTCCGAAAGTCGGCTGAATCGGGAATTCAGCCGACTTTCGGACCAATATTTTTATTAATATTAATATTATTGGAGAGCTGACTTAAAATATTCTTTTATTTATTTATATTATTATATATTTATTTATTTATATTATTATTCATTTATAAAAATTATTATTATTTATAAAAAAATTAAAAATTGTTATTAAAACAATTGTTCGGCTTCCTCTTCCTCTTCCTCCTCGTCTCATTCCTCTTCCTCCTCGTCTCATTCCTCTTCCTCCTCTTCTCATTCCTCTTCCTCCTCTGCTTTCCATTTTTCTTCTTTCTCCATCTCCTTCGCTTGTTTCGTCTCTATATTCCTTCCTACGCGCAGACCATTTATATCTATAAAGCATAGAGATTTTATTTATTTAATTTTTTTATACATATATATAACTGTTTATTTCATTTATTCATTAATATTTAGAGAGACAATATTATACTGCATGTATGCGTAAATGCTGTATTATATTCTAGCTTGATAAAATATATACAGGGTGTCCGGTAACTAACAGACCAATGATTAAGGGCGGATTCTCTGGCCAATTTGGAGACGATTTTTCCTTAGCAAAAATGTTGAGAAGTCAATAATTTTCGAGTTATAAGCGATTGAAAAAAATGGGTTTTTTGAAAACTAAACGTTTTGGAGTTAAAAGTCTAACATAATTACATTCTTCAGTTAATTTTAGGTAGAGTTTACTATAATAAAATTTTAATTTGAGACTTAGTTATAAAAATACATAATGACAATATTGGAAAGTTGTAAAAAATGATGACCTTTTTCGACATTTTCGCTGAGGAAAAATAGTTCCCAAATTGACCAAAGAATGCATTTGTGATCGTTGGTCCGTTAGTTACCGGACATCCTGTATATATATATATATATATATATATATATATCAGAGATGCTGATTAATTAATTACTTTTTAAATTAATTATGACATTTAATTACAAACAGATGTAATCAAATGTAATTAAAATATTTTGAATTGACGATTAATTTTAGAAAGATTAATTAGAGATCGTTACAATGACGATTGATATAAGCTAGATTAATCGAAGATCGCTTAATTAACGATTAATATGATCGAAGTCAATTGAAGGTATTTAATTGACAATTGATATAAACGAAATTAATCGGAGAGCGATCGATTAAACGATTAATACAAGCTAATTTAATTGAAAGTTTTTCAATTAAACGATTAATATGAGTTAATTTTAATTAGAAGTACTTTAATGGACGATTTAAAAAAAAACAGATTCAATCGAAGAGAATTCAATTGACAATTGATTTGAGCAGAAACAATTAAAAAGTATATAATTGACGATTAAATATAGCAAATTTAATGCGAATCTCTTTCATTAATGATTGACTTAAGAAAATCGATATAATTTCTCTATTTCTATTAATTAACTATGTGTAACGATTCATAAAATTTAAATAAATTTAATCGAAGATGTTTGATTGATGATATTATAACATGACTGAATTTAAATATTATTTTAAATAATATTATTTTATATAATTTTAAATAATATTATTTTAAATAATATTTAAAATTAGTCATGTTATAATATCATCAATCAAACATCTTCGATTAAATTTATTTAAATTTTATGAATCGTTACACATAGTTAATTAATAGAAATAGAGAAATTATATCGACTTTCTTAAGTCAATCATTAATAAAAGAGATTCGCATTAAATTTGCTATATTTAATCGTCAATTATATACTTTTTAATTGTTTCTGCTCAAATCAATTGTCAATTGAATTGCCTTCGATTGAATCTGTTTTTTTTTCAATCGTCCATTAAAGTACTTCTAATTAAAATTAACTCATATTAATCGTTTAATTGAAAAACTTTCAATTAAATTAGCTTGTATTAATCGTTGTATTAATCGTTTAATCGATCGCTCTCCGATTAATTTCGTTTATATCAATTGTCAATTAAATAACCTTCAATTGACTTCGATCATATTAATCGTTAATTAAGCGATCTTCGATTAATCTAGCTTATATCAATCGTCATTGTAACGATCTCTAATTAATCTTTCTAAAATTAATCGTCAATTCAAAATATTTTAATTAAATCTCTTCATATCATTTGTTCAATTTTAAAAATTTAATTGATATTTTGCCAACTCTGATATATATATATATGAAATTTAATTCAAAATTTAATAAACATACCTCGCATCACGTTCGACACGTCTTATCCCAGCCCGACGCCGCGTACAGGAATCGTCTTCGTCGTGTTGATGTTGCTCCTGTTGGTCGTCTCTTTCTCGCCTCTCTTCTCTAATAATAAAAGATATCAAATATTATATATATATATATACATACATACATATATATATATATATATATATATATATATATATATATATGCGTGCGTCGTGCGTGTGTGTGTTGTGTGTGTGTGCGCGCGCGTGCCGCGCATGTACGTGTAATTATATACAAATATAATTTTAATATAATTTAAAGATATAAGACAGGCAGTAAGAGCCAACTCGCGGATGACAGTGCGTTATCCTAACGAAACTAAATTTTTCGTTAGGATTAAGTATCTGTGCACAAGGCACCAAATTCTACTTGGTCACGGCCAAGATTTAAAATATGAAATAATCTCATATTTGAGATTTAATTTCAATAACCCTTTCACCCCCCTACGGAAATAAGTAAATGCAGAGAAAAAATATAGAAAGTCGCTGAATCGGGAATCGACGTTGTTTATCAACGTCTGTTTGTTTATCAACATTATTACATATAGCAGAGAAAAGTATAGAATCGAAAGGATCTGAATAGCTCAGTTGGAAGAGCAGTCGCCCGGCAAGCGAAAGGTCTCGGGTTCGATTCCCGATTCAGCGACTTTCGGATCTATATTTTTCTCTTGCATTTACTTATTTCCGTAGGGGGGTGAAAGGGTTATTGAAATTAAATCTCAAATATGAGATTATTTCATATTTTAAATCTTGGCCGTGACCAAGTAGAATTTGGTGCCTTGTGCACAGATACTTAATCCTAACGAAAAATTTAGTTTCGTTAGGATAACGCACTGTCATCCGCGAGTTGGCTCTTACTGCCTGTCTTATATCTTTAAATTTATATTTATATTACAGAGCCTTGTTAAACTCTTAATAATATTTTAATATTGTATATTTAAACATATGTATAGAACAATATATGTACCTTTCTTCATCTGCTTCAACATCTGCTGCTTCATCACTATCTTTTATAATATTCTTTAACTCTTGCTTCCATTTTTTAATTTTTTCTTCTTTTTCTATTAATTCTTCTAACTTTCTTTTTGCTTCTTTTTTCCATTCTGTAATAAAAAAAACATTACGTTTGTGCAAATATTTTATGTTTCATATATATATATATGTGTGTGTATATCGAGCGGCAGTGTGGCTCAGTGGTAGAGCGCCAGACTCGTAACTCGCAGATCGCGGGTTCGAGTCCACTGAGTCACGTAAACATGGAATATTTTTCCGCGCTGCGCTCACCACCGGGATCGGGGTTTATCTCGGTGGGAAAACTGGGCTCACGTCTTTCGGAAGAGACGTTAAACAGGGGTCCAACGGTTGGAGAAGGAGGAGGAAAGGATAAGGTTGGAGAAGTAGTAGCCGGTGCCTGCCAAGAAAAAGGAGGAATGGGAGACAAAGGGAAGAGGGGGTGAAGTGGATTAAAAAGGAGCGTAGAGGTTGGGAACGATCCTATCAGAAAAAAGCGCCAGGACAAAGGAGGAGAAGGAGAAGTGAGGAAAAAGGAGGAGGCAAGTTCGGCAAAAAGAGAGAAAAGGGGAAAATAGAAGAAGAGAAAGGAGAGGAATTGGAAACAAGGAGGAGGGAGACGGAAAAGGACGAAAAAGTGAAGGTAGGGTGAAGGTGTGAGGGGACCAAAAGGAAGCGTAGAGGTTCGGGAACGCCCCTATCAGAAAAAAGCGCCAGGGGAAATAGATTTGAAATTGTAAGGTGGTAGTAGAAGAGGATTGTAAAGGTTCGGGAACGCTCCTATCAGAAAAAGCGCCACATATGTAACATTGTAACATATGATAGAGGAAGAGAAGGAGGAATGTAAAGGTTTGGGTACGCTCCTTAAAAGCGCCTTAATCCTTAAGGGGCAAATAAAGCAATGAATGAATGAATATATATGTATATCCCAGCAAACACAAAATAAAAGTAATATATATATATATATATATATATATACATAATACAATGTTCTACGTATATATAAGGCATGTTGCATTTGCACGTACATTGCAATTAAATTGTTGATTGAGTTATAATATATATTGATTATATTAATATACATATAATAGATATTGATAAAATATAATATATATTGATGTTATTCTTTGTATAATATTCATGAAATATATATTTTATATTATATAATTTTTAAGTTTAATTTGTGTGTGTGTGGTGTGTGAACATTATTAAATTATATTATTAAAAATATATAATTCGACTCCCGAAATATATTAATTCATTATAACGTATATATAATAGTATTTTTCTCATATTAAAATGATTAGAATAAATTAAATTAATTATTAAAAACTAAAAATTAATTAAACGACTTAGACTTAGATAATAATATTAATGAAACATTTATTAATAAATGATTTAATAACTATAATAGGTCAGGTTAATATTGTATTTATTTATTTATTTATAACATCATAAAATTCTGTCCTTTCTGAAATACGCGAACGCTACAAA